GAGTGGAGGGAAGTTTTACTCTTTGAGTACACCGATGAATTCCACTTCCTAATGTGTTGTTTAGGGTTTCTGTGGACCTATTCAACTTTGCCTCAAGGTCTTTCTATCCTCTGGCACACAGGTTGATTTTTCCTCACTCTGATTTTCCTGTGGTGATCTCGATGGTTTTGCATCTTGTTTCGAAATTTTCTTATATCTACATTATGCAAAGTTTCTGATTTCACATGTCTCTAGCAGTGTTAAGAATCAAAATCTATTGCCCCTTTGTGCCCTGACAAGAGTAAAAGAGGCGTATTAGCAAATCAGTGCTCCTTCTCATTCTCCTCCCAATCTCCATTTTTGCAGAAGTGGCATGGGATGGGACATCCATGTAGCAGGACATCTACCACAGATGTTCAAATAAAGCTGGGGGTGGGCTCTAAGCTGCAGCCCATGGGAAGATCTGGGTGGAACTAGCACTTCTAGAGGCGAGAGCAGCAGATGCAAAGGCCATGTGGTAGGTCAGACCACACATTTTCAGGGAACCAAGGGAGGTCAGCATGATGGGACAGAGGAAATAGAACACAGGGGAGAAGCGCTGGCAGGTTTGCAGGCCATGCTGAAAAGAGGGTTTTGCTCTATGAGCTGTGAGAGGCCAGCTAAGCAGAGTGCACTGCCTGTGATTACAGCATTCCAGGAGGCTGAGGCAGGAGGACTGTGAGTTCCAGTCCAGCTTGGACAATATAGTGACTTAGTGAGAATCTATCTTAAAAAAAAAAATCAAAAAGGGCTTTGATTTTTTTTACTGGGTTTTTAATTTTAGGTGGCTTAATATTTTGAGTTCTTTATATATTCTAGCTACTAGTCCTCAGTCTGAGGAGGAGCTAGCAAAACGTTTTCCCCATTCTAGAGGTTGTCTCTTCACTCTACTGACCACTTCTCTGCTTCGAACTTCAGCAACACACTGAGCCTCTATAATTTAATGTGTTTATCTGTATCTGTGTGTGTTCTTACCGATCTAACGGCCACATGTAGCCCTGAGGACATAGCTCAGGGTGAAGGACCTGGGTTCAGTCCTTCGCGCTGTACTGTGAAAAACAAAACAGAACCAAACTGTGGGAGGCCACATGGCTAGCGGGGGTGCAGCTCCTCAGCTGCTGTAGTCACGCCCGGCAGAGCAGGAAAGCCAGGGGCAGGAGGAGGCAGAGGGGGCAGGGGACTGGCCAGAGGGAGGGGGCATCCTGAGAGAGAGGAGGGAGGCAGACGGTGGAGAAGGAGAGAACAGGCCGACTCCTGGGTTTTCAGGTAGACCGCGATGCCCGTTCCTGGGGAAGACGGGGGAGGCTGCTTGCGAGTTCCGTCCGAGATGCCCGGAAGGCAGGTGCTGGGAGCCCTGTGCAAAAGCCATGGAGGCTGCTGCAGACCAGGGCTGGGCGCCATGAGAGGTCAGAGAGGCGGCCCTTGGGCACTGTCGCCAGATGGTGTTGGGTGGGGCTGCATGAGACCCCTGGGTGGGAAGGAAGCAGGGGCCCAGGAGCATGCCAGGGGCTGTGAGTGAGACCCATCAAGGAGGCCAGCCGAGTGGCCTGTGGGTGGAGAGGGCCCTGAAAGGCGTGGGAGGTGCTTCAGGAAGCGGGTGTGTGGCTCTGGGTCACTCCCAGCGCCCTCCCTGTGTGCAGTGATTGCATCCTACGATTCTGAAACATGGACATTACTATCCCATTTTGAAAATGAGAAGGCAGAGGCCCAGAAAGGCTAAGGGACTTGCGCAGGGTCGTAGGTGTTAGTAAGAGCTTTGCTCCCAGCCCCACAGCCTTAACCACTGTGCCACGTGGCCAGCAGAGAGGGCGTCTGTATAAGGGACACTGAGCAGCCCCAGTTTGGGTAATGCGGACAGGAGTGGGCTGGGTGAAGTAGACAGAGGCTGAATGCAGAATTGGGGTGGGGGGCCAGGCACACACGGGGACTCTGGGAGAGAGACGTGGGGAAAAAGCCTGCTGCAGGACAGCCTGGCTGAGTGGCCCTGTCGCTCTATGGTTCAAACCCCTGGCATGTGGGCAGGGTGCAGGGAAAGCTCAGTGGGCCACAGTCCTGTCTACACTGCCAGCCTCCGGGGCAAGCAGGTGGCGTGGCCGGTGTGGGGACAGGGACTCAGTAAAGCGCCCACAGAGTGGCCAGTGCTTGAGGATGCAGTTGGCTCAAGGAGTTGCTCCTTGATTTTTTAACAGGAAGCTGATACATGATCGTTATTTTAAAATCAGAAAGAGTGATTTTTGGGATCTAGAATCCCTATCGATGACTTGACAATTTAAAGTCAGCTTTCTGCATAAGACAAGTCCATGTTCTTTAGTCTTCCTGGTCTCATACACACACACTTGAAGCTGTGTGTCATAGAGAACTGTAAAAGAACCAAGACAAGAGAAGGACTTTATACACCCCTGGGGTGACACAAGGGTGGGGGCATATCCACAGAAAGGGCACAAGAAACAACAGAACAGTAAAGCAAACCTGGGGAAACCCTGCCACAGTAAAGCAATTCATTACTGAGTCTACAGACCTCCGTGGGAAGAATCTACTGATCTCTAAGGATGGTTACAGGATAAGATATAAGGACTTTTCCAGTTTTCTTCCAGGCTCCTGCCCCATCACCTAGATCAGTGTTCTGCCCAGAGAAGGCATTCAATAAAGATTGGTTAACTTTACGAATGATTTTAAGAAAGCAGTTTAAGACTTACCAACACTGAGAAAATAATTCTATTTACAATGACACTAAAAGGAATAAAATACTTAGGGATATGTTGAACTGAGGCAGCAAAAAGCCTACATACTAAAAACTACAAAAATCATTGTTAAACTATGTTAAAGAACAGCTAAGTACATGGAAAAAGCACCCTATCTTCATGGATTATAAGATTTAGTATTGTTAGATGGCAGGATTACCCAAAGTGACCTACAGATCAGTCTCTATCAAAATTCCAACTACATTTTAAAAATATGAAATGTGCAAACTTATGCTAAGGTTCATATTTTTGTGTTTGTTTTGTTTTTTGTACCGACAACTGAACTCAGGACCTTGAGCTTGCCAGGCAGGCGCCGCATCACTGAGCTATATTCCTGGCTTTGATTCATTGAGCTTTGCAGGTGTCTCAGAATAGACAGAGCAATCTTGAAAGAGAAGACAGAAGTGGTGAGACTCACACATTTGATTTCAAAATTTACTGCCAAGCTACAGCAATCAAAACAGTGTGTTAGTGGCATAAAGACATATAGACCAATGGAACGGACGTCAGAGTCCCAAGTGATTTGGACAAGCATGCCGAAATCAAGCCCCAGGGAAGAGCAGCCTTTTCAACATAGAGTGCTTGGATAATTGGAGAGCCTCATGCAAAAGAGTGAATTTGGACCTCTACATCATACCGTATAAAAATTACATCAATGTGGATCAAAGGCTTAAATGCAAGAGCTAAGACTACAAAGCTCTGAAAAGGAAAGACAGAAGTAAATCCTTTTGACCTTGGATTAGCTAATGGTTTTGAAGATATGACACCAAAAGCACAAACAATAAAAGAAAAATAAACTGGAATTCATTACCGTTAAAAACTTTTGTACATTAAAGGAAACCACGGCTGCTATGATTTAGATTTTAAAACTCCATTAAAAGTCTCATGTGTTCAGAGATGGGGATTTCAGAAGGTGATTGGATCACGGGGGTGTATATTTATTAGCAGATTAACCCACTGAAGAGTTCATGACTGAATGGGCATTGGGTGGAGATGGGTCACTGGAGGTGGTGTACCAGAGGGTATATCTCTTGCCCTGGTTCATCCTCTCTGCTTCTTTGATGCCAAAGATTAAGTAACTTGCCTCCACTAGGCCCTTCTGCCATGCATTTCTGTCATGAAAGCCAACTGATCATGGACTGAGCTACCTGGAACCGTGAGCCGAAATAAACCCCATCTTCTTTAGGTTGGCAAGTCAGGTATTTAGTCCCAGAAATAAGAAAGCTAGCTAATCGCTTCAGCAAAAAAGACAACCCAGAGAATGGGAAAAAATATATATCTGATAAAACTCTTACAACTCAACAAGGGGAAATAATCCAATTTTTAAAATGGACAAAAGATTTCAATAAATATCTCTCCAAAAAAGATACATACATGATCAACAAGAAAACAAAAAGATGCCCAATATCGTCAGTCATAAGGAAATCCAAACCACAGATTCCACTTTACATCCACTAGAATGGCTATTTTTTAAGAAAAGGCCATGAGTGTTATCAAGGATGTGAAGAAACCGGATCCCTCATACATTGCCGGTGGAGTGTAAAATGGGGTAATCAGCATGGTAAATAGTTTGCATGTTCTTCAAAAAGCTAACAAACAGTCACCTTAGGACCCAGCAATTTCATATCTAGGTATGTATATGACTACGAGAAATGAAACATGTTCACACAGAAACTTGCACATGGAAGTTCATCAGAGTGTATTCACAATAGCTGAAAGGTAGAAATAGCCCAAAAGTCCATCAAAGGATGAAACAATGAATGGTACACACACCAAAATACTGTTTGGCCACAGAAGTAATGGAGTTCTGATGCATTCTACACCATGGGCAAATTGTGACAGGACACCAAGTGAAAGAAGCCAGATGTAACAAGTTACATTTGTATCACTCCATTTACATAAAATGGCCAGAAGAGACAAATTCATGAGGACAGAAGGTAGCTTAGGAACTTCTGGGGGTCAGGGAAGGAGGAGGGAATAGGGAGTGACTGCCTAATGCAAACGGGGTTCCCCCTGCAAGGCGTGAAAATGCTCTGGAATTAAGACAGGGGTGATAGCTGTACAACACTGCAAATACCCTAAAAGCTACTGAGCTGTACATCTCAACGTCCTGATTAAGATGATGAACTACATGCTAGGGAAATTCTACGTCCACAAAACAAAGATTTACTGGAGACACTGTAAACAGAGGCCTAGACCTAAAAGAGTTGAAAAATAAAGTTGTTACAAAATGCAACTGACCTTGTTTTTCTGGGTTGCGGACCTGGGATGGCAGATCTTGGATTTCCAAGGTCCATTCCCCCTCAGCCTTTTCTCCCCAGCAGTGCACGGTCATGAATTCCCAGTTTGTAAATCCTTCATTTGAAAAATCCAGCAATCTGCAATTGGAGATGCCATGTTAGACAATAAATGCCAAGCAGAGGGACCCCTCAGAGGCCCTCAGAGCCCTCAAGGGTGCTCTGTCTGGCCCAGGAGGAATTATTTCTCAGGGCCTGCACCGTTCAGTAATAGCACACCCCAGGCAGGGCTGGAGGGAAGAGGGAAAGTGAAGGTCACAGAACACACGTGGATGTTTTCAGTGGCTCAGTGTCACCTCAGTGGACCTCTCTAACATCTGGCGAGGAAGGCAGGCAGGCTTCAATTCACCCAGTCAAAGGTGAGGTCTTGGTTCCAGGAATCTCTTCCCATCCTAATTGACAAAGGCTCTATTCCAGTATGCTGGTTTGCTGCAGGTCCTGTGACTGGCAGCCAGCAGAGCTGGGACTCGAAGCGGGCATTCTGAGCTCTTCTGTGTTCTCTCCACCATCCCCAGGTGCTTATGAGGTCGCCCCCCAATGCCCTTGGCGCTGCCACTTTCCTGCAGAAAGTATCTGCCCCCTCCCCATCCCACACTGATCTCCCAGAACATATACACCCAGTGCCCACATGCACAAAAGCAGGCAGAAGCTGGGTTACATGACTCGTTAGGCTTGGAAGGTGCTCACAAAGGAAGCCTTTTAAAAATGCATGTTTGTGTACTGAAGGATATGTCCACATTTGTTTTAGAGCACGGCTGTGTGCTGTTCTTGCAAATAAGTAAAAACAAACAATTATTCAAACTCGGGAGAAAAGTGTTGCCTCTGAATTTCCAGGGCTGAAAACCAGTTTCCTTGGTAGCCTTTGGAAGACATGCCAAGCATGGCCTGGTGGTTGTACTCCAGAGTGGGTGAGAGACACCTCTGGGCCTAGAAGGAGGCGGAGGAGGCCCCCTTGTACCACCCCGAGTGGCAGATCTTCCTTGATGGTCCCCACCAGCCCTGGCCTTCACTTTCTGGTGGTTCCCATTTTCCTTTCAAGTAGAACAACTTAAAGGACATCTCTCTCCCAGGCCCCGGCGTGCTCGGACTGCTGTCCTCCAGGGAACAACTCAAAATTCCTCAATTGTCTTCTTCCTTCGTAGTCTAATTTTCCGTCTCAATTTTGGAATAAGAATTTTTAAACATGGGATTTTTTTATTGTTTATCAGAAATTCAAATATGTAAATTTCGTGTGATATGAGATTCCGCTCCCAGGGAATCTCACATCACATGAAAGTTGGGAGCTCTCTGAACATCAGTGTATAAAGACGTTGATCAAAGGAATATTCTTTGCAGGGAGATTAGTAGGGAGGAAGGCATTCTGTGTTTTCTACTCAGAAACTGCCAAGGTCAAGGCTGGTTTTCACACACAAAGCCAAGAAGGACCCAAGACACTCAAGGAAAAAGGCTTTTAAGTGGTGGGGCCCTTAAGAATGTCAGCCTACTCTTACAGAAAAAAAATTGGCAAGCTGCAAAGGCTGCTGGATTAAGTAAGATTCAAGTAAGTAGAAGGTAATAGATCCTCAAACCAAAATCTTGATATAATCACAAAATCTGCCTTCAGGGGGAAAAAAACCCAACAAATTCCCTAGACTCGAGTGACTGCCAAGTGGCCTCAGGGCAGTGTTTTAAAGTGCTTCATGGCACAGGGACAGCAAGGACTATTTGCAAGTAGGTAGCTGCAAATAAGCCTCAGGCCCTGCTCCCTGCCATCCCTACGGGTTCCAGTGCTGGGCCAAGATGATAAGGGAAAAAACAGACTCGGGGTTCATGGGGATGCTGACAGGGTCAGCTGCCAGCCAGACTTCAGAAGAAACAAAGGGCAACCAGGCACCTGTGTCAAACATTCTTATCTTTATCATCACATTTGACTCTTGTAATATTATTGTTTTCTTATAATAGTCCTGATATTTATGAATGAGAGCATGACTTTTCCAGAGAAGGACAGAGAGGAGCCAAGCACCTGGGTCCTAACAACTTCAGCTGGAAAGTGCAGGGGCCAGGATAGGAGCCTAAGTCTCTAGGCTCCAAAGCACACATGCTCTGGTCACTGCCGCCCGGCAAACCTGCCATCTGTCACCTCAGCTACTAAGCTTCATGTGGGCTCTTGGTCAGTTCAGGCCACTATCTTCAGAGGTCACAACCTGGGGTGCCTCTGGGTGGACACGCAGTGGGGAGTGAATGGAAGTGGGGGTTCTGGTGAGGAGCGGGAGCATGGGGAGCCCTGAAGCAGACTCGCCCCTCTGCTCCGCTCCCAGCCAGGGTATGCAGGAATGTGGGCCTGGTTCTGGCTGTTCAAGAAAGCTAGAAACTGCACATTCAGACTAAAAATCTCTAAAAATTAAAACAAGCAAGCAAATCTTCTGGGAGAAAAACATTAACAAGCCTCAGCTTGCTGGATGGTGCCCCCAAACTGCTTATGCCCGAAGTGGCCTCCACAGGCAGAGGCAGAGTGCCACTGATTTTGTATTCGGGAGGGGAAGATGCCCCACTCTGCTCTCCTGCTAAGAATGGGGGAGTCAGTCAGGGCTGAGCCCAGTGCCCAAGCTCCTGAAATCCTGAAATCCAGGGTCTGGTCTTGGGTTGCTTCCAGTTCACGGAGGACAAGGCTTGTGCTGGCATCCAAGGCTTGCTACCCCATCTGCAGGCTGCTGAGCCTTGGAAGCTGGGAAGAGGGTGGGGGGCACAGCACCCATGGGGGCCCTGGTGGTCTTTCATTACTGTAAGTCTTAGGCAAAGTTGGCCACCCTCTCTTACTGAGCAGAAGGAATTAAGAAAAAGGGGGACTCTTACATGAGTGGTTCTACTAAACACCCCATTTCTGAATGGCCAAGCAATAGCCCAGATAAGGACAGAGAAAGCCCAGTGAGTCACACAGATTCCTGGCACAGCTGATTCCTCCGGGACTGTGGGCACAGCTGCCAGTTCCGGTTTTTAACAGATACTAGATATACTGATGTGCCCACAAATCCATGAAACCTTCTCTTTCTTCTCTCTCTTAGCTAGAAAGAGAAAATTAGGTAGTTTGCTCCGCTTCCCCCAGCCTAAATCTCTCGTTGACCTACAAGTCATACGAATGTATCCAAATATCTGTCTTTGTCTCTAAATCTGTTGAAGAAATGACTCCACGGCCTTCCACGACCCATGGGCAAAGCTTCACGAATTTCAGGTCTGTGTCTGAGTGCTGGCATTTTGGGGAGAAGGTCACAGAGAGCACCTGGCAGTGCCTTCCCTGCACCCCTACCCAAGTCCAGAGTCCAGCTACACAGGTCCTAAGGTGTGGCCCACGCCGAGTGGAGTGCTCTGGGAGATGATGCTTCTCTGGTCACCTGCCCTGGCTTCCAGTGCCAACTGAATGGATGGCGGGATTTTCAGTGTACTTCAAGACCAATGAAGACACAGCCAGAATCCCATCAACCTCCCCACCACACAGTGACACAGAGCAACTCCTGTGTCGCTTCTTCCAGAAAAGGAAAGTTTTGAAGGATTGTTTTAAAGACAGTTTCACAAGCAAGATTCCCATGCGCTTAGTTTGCAGACAGGGACAGAGTCACAGATGGCACAGTTCCCATGTGGCATCGAATCCCAGCCTTACCTCTTTGCCAACAGTTGAGACTTGGTTCCCGAGGGGGAAATCAGGTGGATCTGGAGGTCTCCTCTGCGTGGGTGTGAGATGGAGATGCGGACCACCACGTGCTCCAAGTAGACCACGCGCTGGTCTGAGTGGTCAGCGCATGCGTTCGTCAGGGCTGTGGTCCGCAGCACCTGCACTATGGGGATACTCCTGTGGAGGAGGAGGAGCTCAGTGCCTGGTGCTGAGCTACTGAGTCTCACACACAAGCACCCAAGCTCGCTCCTTTCCTGGTGCAGCTCTGGGTTCTGGGGATCCCCAGAGAGCAGCTGAAGTCTCCCTCTTAGATGTCCCATTCTGAGCTCTATCACCTGCCTGAGAAGACTGTATGGTTCTAAAATTTGTTTACAGACATTGAAAGAATGGCTTCTTGTGCAGACCTGAGTCAGTCTATCAAGGGCTCGGCCTTTTGGGGCTCTGTAGGCGTCTTTGTGATCAACTCGCTTTCTCAAAGATCTGGGATATGCAAGACTTCAACATCCCCTTACATCGTTGTGCAGACCAGTCTTGAAAACAGAAGTCTCAGTGCTACACTACAAGAGCAAACGCTCTTGAGCTCACTGGCACTGGGCACTGATCTGAACATTTATGAGGATTACTCCATTTCATCCAGAGAGAAAGCAAGGACTGAAACAAGCTATTGGGAGCAGGAGCAGGCATTTGGGGCTCATGTCCTCTGCCTCAGCCTCTGCACCACGCTGTCCTGCATGGATGCTTGAATGGACCCACATTCAAGGGACCGAAGCTGTTGGAGCTGGCCTGCTTCTGGCTGTCAGGACAGACGGGGGTCCTTCCCCTCTACTGCCCTGTGACAGAAGCTGATGACCACGTTTCTCTATATAAACTCAGGGCAGTTGGGATGGAACCTGGGACAACCACCAAGCTCTCATTGCCTAGGAGTCACTTCCATCAGGATTTTCTAACACAGAAAGCAGACACAGTCTGCACTCAAAGGCTCCTCCTGAGCCTGGGTTGGGCCATCCTGTCCATTCTGGGCTACCATGGCTCATATCTCCACAAAGCCTGGCTCCCTCATGATCTGCAACCTGAAGAAAGATGGTATTCTTTGGTGGTGACCCAACCGCCATGCAGCAGCACATTAATAACCCCCCACTACGAGCCGGCGGTCGGTTTATTGTGGGGAGCATTTTCCCATTATGCCTGATTCCTCTGGGGAGGCCTAAAGTGTGTGCTCAGAGCCTCTCAGGAATTACGTTGCTTGGCTCTACTAGGCCTGAGTCATAAAAAACAATCAAAACAGTTAGAAACAGTGATGTAATTCCCACAGCGACTCTGTAAATATTTGAAAACATGCTTTGCATGCACTATAAATTGATTTAGGGGTGCTGACTTCTTTCATTGCCTCCTCTGTGTTTTACTGTCTGTGTTTACTGGTCAGGGGGCTCCACCACCATGGCAGATACGGAGCATGGCAAAAAGCCCCAGAGAGTTTCAGGCCCATGTCCACCTCCAGGTACAGTGCTTGCCTGCTCTGTGCTCTGGGCATGGTACTCCATGTGCAGGGGAAGACAGATGTCACAAATGCTCCCCTAGGGCTTTGAAACGTGGCTCTCAGTCAAGATCTCAAGACCCAAGAATGACTCTATGCTCAAATTTTTAACACTTTTCCAGAGCCAACTAGCAAGATCAAGGTAGAAAAGAGACAAAAGCCTTAAAACACTGTGTCCATCTCAACTTTTTGCTAACAGGCAGGAGGAGTAATCCCTGCACTCTAGAAATAGACCTAGAATTCTAGTAAGAAAGTTTTAGTCCCATTGATAATTTAAGCAAACAGAAACAAGATAAAATGAAAGACAACCAACCCCCGCCTTTTGTCTGCCCCACTGCTGTACTTCTGGTTCACAGCACCAACACCTTGAGAAAAAAGAAAAACTTCTTGATGAGAGTATTAGGGTTGCTTGCATCTACCTGAGCAGTAGGGCGAAAAAGGCAGGCGGGGTGTCATGCATGGGGAGCCACGCTGCTGCTCCCCAGCGTGGCAGGCTGCGTGTGAGCAGTGCTGAGCTCCTTCAGGAGTCAACAGAGTTGGTTTTCAAAGCCAAGACATAGCTCTCCCAGGGGTACAGCCTGCCTGGGGAACAAGGGTAACTGAAACGATTAGTTTTTATGTGAAATCTCTTAACTGTGAAATCACCCAGTTACAGGCCACTAGGACTCCGTTTCTGTAAGCTTTCGAGGGGAGGTGGGAGCCAGCACGGCCAGCAACATCGAAAGACGGGGAGTTGTTTGCTCCTTCAACGCAATTTTTCTGTACTTCTGTAGGCCTAGTCTATGGAGTCAGGGGCTTCTGCACTTCCTGAAGAAAAGGAGAGGCTTCAGGAGCCAAGCTGAAATTATCCTGTGTTTCAGACAGAAACTCTAAGGAGAAGGAGGGATCAAAAGCCATCACTTTTCAGGAGTCGGTGAACTCTGAGACAGAAAGCGAAAGTCAATGCACAAAACTGAAATTTAGCAAAGTAAATTAGTCCCTATCCTCTAATCATTTCAAAGGCAATACAGAAAATGCAAGTCAACTGCAAAGCAACGTATTTTGTAGGTTAACAACCTACAGGGATTGTTTCTGTCATATGGATACGGTTAAACTATACTTTCATCACAAAACTGAATCAGAAAGACCTTAAATTCTCCTGGGGAACTGAAAGATATTGTTCTGAAACTCTGTCTTGTGCACCGAGCCATCTTCATGAGACACTAGAAGAACCCAAGGTGTTAAAGGACCCCACGGGGCCTGCCTGCAGCCTGATGGACATTCAGGCCAGGGAGGCTTCAGCCTTGGAAGGGATCTCAAACCACAGAGAAAGGACACTTCCGGTCAAGCCACACTTCATTGCTTGTACACTCCATGTGGCCTCCTCTCACCCTAAACTCTGCTCCCTGCTCCCAAGGAGGCGGAGAGCCCCACACCCTGCTCCTTCCAGCCAGGCCACCAATATGGCAGCCTCCCTCTAGTTCTCCAATGCGTAAAGATGTAAGGAAAAGTGTTCCTAATTTCCACTCTCCCAACTCTGAGAATCTTGAGGCACTGGAGTGACACGCAAAGATAAATATTTTTAATTAAACAACTGACAGGGAAAAACAGGGAAATGTGGGTCGTGGGCCGAAACCTTCTACTGTACCTGGAGAGGGGGCTTCAAGCTCTCCACTTACTTTTCTGCTCTAACTAGGAAGAAACTACACTTTGGGTTTCTCATTCCCACCAAGAAGACCTCACTCCAGCTAAGCTTCATGGGGAGACCTGCAGCCTTTAGTTCCAGAGCAAGGTTTCCTGTCCAAGCCTCAGAGTTGGGGCCAGCGGTTGGGCCAGGCCTAGCTCTTCATTAGACAGTTCTGAGACCATGTTGATAGAACTACCTAAATCAGAAGGTAGGAGTGATCTTTGGAGTCTGCCTAGGAAAGAAGGAATTGCTGAGCAGCTGAGGCCTATTACAGCAGAAGGTTGACCAGGAAGATCAGCCAGAAGGTCTACAGAGAAACACTTTGACTGAACTTTCAAAGACTAGTTGCTGGAGAGAGGTCATCAGAGCACATTTGTTAAATAAAATCCTGGGAAAGCTACTGATCTGGTGGAAGAGGCAGAGCCCTCCTCACGGACACAGCAGGAAGCTTCTGGCCTTTTCTCAGATCTACATTCGAGGATGAATGTTCTTCGCAGGATGCTCTGAGACAGAGATTATTGTGCTTATCTGTGGACTTTGTTATTCACATTACTTCACAGTTAGAATTTCCTTTGGATGAAATTTTGGCTACCACATGACAGTGCAGCATTTAAGGTAGAAATAAAATTTAACAACTTTATAAGAGAAGGTAATCTACTACATTAATTTAGACAAGGTTCTCCATGATTAATTGGGCTATAAGATGCTTTAATATACAACATTTAAATTTATAGCACACATTTTTATTTTATGTGAAATGAGGGGACTGAATTAGCTGGCTTTCAACATTCCTTGCAATGATAATGGTCTAGGATTCATTCTGACGGGGAGTAAAAAAGACAAATAAAATTACTACAGTCAGTGTTTGTTATTCACAGACTCTTTATTTGTACAAGTACTTACTAAAATTTATCTATGTACCTAAGTCAATTCTCGTGGCACTTTTGTGGTCATTTTCAGATACGCACAGAGCAGAAAGGTATCGAATCTCTCACTGCTAACATCCTAGCTGAGGTCAAACCAGGCCACACTCAGCCTTCTTTGTTTCAGAGCTCAGTGCCACGTTCTTCAGTTTGTGCTTTTTGTTACAAAGCCAGCACATATGGAGCTATAGTGCCAGGGTTCTAAGCACACAAAGGCTGTGATGTGCCTTACAGAGAAAACAAGTGAATTAGATTCTGTTCAGGTGTGAGTTAGAACTCACGTTACACACTAGTGCTGCTGGCTATGAATCTCACATTAATGAATCAATCATGTAAAGAAGGTGTCTTCATATATTAGAAATTTGGACTGATCCTCTGACACAGTGCTATGACCAGAGGCATAAAGAAACCTAGTGTCATGTTCCCTCTTGGGGCTCAGAGAATGTGTCAGAGCAAAGGCTTTGACCTTCTCCTGGCCCTGTTTTCTGTCCCTCTGCTGAAGCAGGTCACAGAACTAAAATTGCTCTTCCTTAAGGTAGGTGACAGAACCTAAAGCCTCTTTTCTCCCCAAACCAGTCACAAAAATCTAAAAGCATTCCTTGATCTTTCCCTGCCTGTCTTGGAGCTAGCCGGCCATAAAGAAATTCTCTGGCCTTGTCAGAGGGTCAGTCCCACTCCATAAGGGGTCCTGCCCATGCCTGGGCAGGAGGCACGCTCCCCAGAAAGGCTAAGAAAACCTGGTCAGACAACAGTGCTTGCTGGGCGTCCCCATCAGTCTCTTGCGGTTAGAACATTTTCTTTTTGTTTAATCATATGTCTACGCAGCTGTCCATGCCCTACCAAACCTAAGCATTAAAAAAAGGACAGTTCATTCTGGTCTTTGGATCTTCAATCGGAAGACTTTTGTCATATTAAACTTTGATCAAATAAACTTGTTATGTTTTTCTATTGTTCACCTGCCTTTTGCTATAGATGTATTCTCTAGGAGCCTTTACACCAGGCAGGAAAGGGGCCACCTCCTCTGTTGTCTCTATATCCTCTGGAAGAAGTGGTT